TGTCCTATAGCGACACTTAAATATTCCGCATTGTAATAATGATAGTAATGATGAGAGGTGGTTAAATGAAGTAATTATTTCTGATCAAACAACTTAAAGCGAAATTGATAAGTAGCGTAGATGCATATGCTGAAGAAATATTTCATAGTTTCCCTAATTCAGTGACATTATTCAGAGTTATTCTGGTTTTCTAGGGGTAAGTCTGTTGTTTCAGTGATTGAAATTTAGATTTCCATGAATTTATATAAAGAAATCCGATAAGGCAAAGTAGCAATCGTATAGAATATCTTACTGTCATTGTACGGCTGTAATAATTGCATTTATATAATTGCTAATGTCAACACAGTTTTCTTAAAGTCTAGATATTAAACATGTCAATGATGAATATTTTAAACTACTAGAAATTGTAGCAAAGTGCCAAAGATATTTAAATATAGTTCCCCATTAGTTTTTGCATCAGCGTCACTTCAGTACATGTGAATGGACTAGCGAATTGCACGTTATTTGAAGTCCTTTTCGTGAAATTGAGTCTTGAAATGAAATAACTGTCAGTAAAATGAGGAAACGCATTTGAAGATTTCAAAGAAATGCATAAGAATGGGGAACTGGTGTCGGAGAAATCGAACTAAAGCTATAACGAGAGAAGATAAAAGAACTGGTAAGTGGGATTTGATACACATACTTAGGGAAATTACATATATTTCATTTTAAAGTCTATAGTTGCACTACTTCTGCCCTTAGTATTGCGTTTTATTGCCTTCTTTTCTTGTTTTCCGTATTTTGACACAATACTGGTTCAATTCCTCTCTTTGATATCAAAATCCATCTCTCCAATATTTGATATTTTGTGTCGATGAATATCTGTGTCTACATACTACTGATAAGTCTTGTCAGTAGCACAAGTCAAAACACAAAACAAACTTTCTAAAATTTGAAAATACTTGTTCGATACAGTCAACTTTTTTGCAAATTATTTTTACTGTGCACCAGATTGTTTCACGTTTTCATAAAGTTCAGTAGGCTTCAACTACCTTTTTCTTTACAAAATTTAATCATATGAATCGTAGAAGGTGTCGCATTTGCAATGTTATTGTGATAAGCAACCAAAAATCAACTTTCTATAATGGTTTTGTGAGCACCTTCAGGAAATGTATATATTAATGTTGTGAAATATATTATTGTGATACTGGCATAATTGTGAGATTACAGCATAAAGAGTCTTCTGATTTCAATGAAGATGTCTTACTGGACAAAAAGTACACGGAGAAATCGACTGGCGAAGAATATGCCACTTTGGCAGTAATATGTTATTTTCTTTGTAGACCACTGACAGTCACTGATATACTATTCCAATATGAAAATGAAACCAGCCATTCAGTGGTGTGCGTCGGTGGTATAGCAGTTAGGACACTCGCCGACCATGCATATGGTCCGGGGTTCGATCACCGGCCGACGCACTCCTTTACCTCGCTAAGCCAGAAAAAAGGCTGGTGAAGAGGAAAGGTTGGGAATGAGGCTAGCAACCCCATCCTATAAAATTAAACACTGCTACAGAAACTTCAGGCCACAAGCTTGAAGCCCTATGTTCCATCGGGGAACGTAAAGGAAAAAAAAATTCTGTGAACTTCCTTATAAGCTAACATATTTAAATAATTATAATGATATCTATGTAAACTTCTGTATAGTTTCTTGAATGATTTAACAAATTGTCAGGTAGCTAATTAAATAAATACTAAAAGAAGTAACGTTATGTGAAGTGATCTTGTAAAAGTAACAGAACTAACAAAATTGGCAATTATTTATTTTCATTTTTATATATCAGTGAGTCTTCATTTTATAAATGCATATGTAAAGCTGTTTGTGAACGTATCATTCAGTTTAGTCACTGGTTCATCGTATTTTGCAGAAACCCATAATTCAATTAGAGGTGCAGTAAAATATGAATGAGCTAAAAAGAACCTCTCATTTGCTGTGAATTTCAATATTCGCATAACCGTGAAACAGGCGTATTCTTTTAGATAATTTAAGCATTTCGCGTAGCAACATGTGGCTTTATCCGTTAAAACCATTCTGATCATTTATATTACACTATTACTCCGTAATAAATACATAACCATCAGTGTAAAATTACTGGCTGGGAACATTTTGTGATAAGTTTGTAAAGAATCTACAGTTACGGGGATGACTGAAGTAGTCCACCTCGGTGTAACAGTATTTCTTGAAGGTGAATAAGACAATATTTATTAAAATGGAGGTGGCGAAAGGTGCTCGTTCATCTCCATTGCCATTTTGAAAATGTAGTGAGCACATTCTACTTATTAAATGTTCATTTTTGAAAGTACTAGTTGTTGTCGATGTGGAAGTTTCGCTCGTAACTAACTCATCTTACTGGTATTGTGACATCCTCACAAGTAATTCTGCTTTGTATCTTTATTCCATTCTCATGCAAATCAGTGAGACATTGACTGAATGGGTATAAATTTATATCTGGATAACACATACAAACGACTTATTCCAAACAAGAGTCATATCAAAATGATGGAGAAGATATGTAGCTTCTTTCGAGAGTTTCTGCGTTGTCTCCCTCTCTGAGCTGGATAATTTAATCGTGAAGCTCTTTTTATTTTCCTATCCATCATCTTCGGTAACAACTTCAAGATGAAGTGGGATTTAAGAATTCTCCAAGAATGTGGTAGAAAATTCTCATAATATACTTGAAAAGGATTGCTTTTATCCGTGAATTTACTCATAATCCTCTTGATCTGCGCTGTTATTAACTATTTTGTCCATCAGATATTTGACTTCGTGTCCATTTTAGTTCTTTTTATTAGGACATATTAACACAACTCATCAAAGACAATTTATACCACAGGATTCACCTTCAGAGGATGTAGTCATACTTCCTTAAATAGAATAGCAAATTCTACAGTGTGTCATACCAAGTTTACCAATATTAAGGAATTTTGTGTGTATGGAAAATACATGGGCGATACGTACGTCTTATGAGAGAAAGATGATGACAGCGAACTGATAATGAAGGACCTCAATAATTGTCATATTCCTCCCCACAGAAGTCTGTCATGGAGTGTGAATCCTATTTTCTGGGTGTTTCTTTAAAAGCGAAACCTCATAGTTTTCTTTTGGGATCAGTCTAAGTAAAGCCAACATGGAATTATCATTATTGGAATTTCCATAGTTGGACCATTTTGCAATGGAGAAAAAATCCTGGTTCACTGTTTATAATTAAGAACAAAGAGGGTTTGTATCAATGATACAATCTATAAAGAACTGGAGAGACTCAAACATGTTCTTTTTCTAAATGTACAGTCTTCAGGATTCAGTGAGAAAACATTAGACTTAAGCATAAGTCAGGAACAATCCACGCGTGACGAAAAGACTGATGTTTATATATGCTGATTTTTATGGAAATACTGGAGGACTACTGGTTCAGACTGTCGAGAAATCACTCTTGTCGGTTGAGTCAGGTATCAGTTTCGGTAAATGATGAAAGGAATTGTGAACAGACTGCAGTTTCTAATATTTCAGTGTGAATGCTTATTAGTTCACTTATTTCTATGGATTTATTTGTATTGGCCCTACATAGTGCAAACTTTTCAATCGTATCTCTGAACACTATTTAGCTTGGTTATCTCGAGAATGATGGGAGTTAGCTACTATCAGTTGTGTTACATACCCCTTTCACTCAATAATTGACTACTTTACAATTTTTACAAATCGACTCTGAAAATGACTTCATGGAAAAGGAAAATTTTCCTTGCTGGAGTATCTTTTATTTTTTTTCATGACTTAGTCAGCATTTTATTTCGTTTTCATTACTTGATAGCTTTGGTTTAGGATAAGAGAGGTAGTAATAGAAACTATTCAAAGTCAAAATAAGGAATGGTTCCTTGACATACTGAAAGTTCTACTTAAGACAAATAAAGAAAAGTAGAGCTACATTCATTAAAATAGAACACCATGTTTCAAGCTTCATATGATTATTCTTACACTCCGCGTAACAACCTTTGACCTATTTGCTGTCACACACTTACCTATCGAAAACGATACTAAATATGCTTCTCAATCAGACAATCATCTTCAACATTATTGCTGAGATCACAGTTTGTGATATCCCTTATTTCAACATAAACATTTTGACAATGACCGAAACTAAGCGTGAATACAAGTTCTTCACAAATCTATGCATTGTTTTATTTTATGAAGTGGTATTATACATCCTTGATAAGACATTCAGCCAAGGAAGTAGGAATACTCTTCCTGGTTTACGTAAGCTACACTACTGCAGCATAAAAGAAATGCATATAACAAATGTATACAAGGACAAATGGGCAATCCTAGAGGAACATAGGGCTTCAGCCGTGCGTCTCCATTGCGTTCGGTTCTCTACTAGAGTCTTCACCTGGCTCCAAGTCTGCCCACACGCTTTCATCTCCTCTTCACATGACCTCCTCCAAGTCACCCTTGCACTGACGACCGAATCGCCGCTTCCCTTTCGGGTTCCACTCGAGTGATGGCTTGTCTAGTGATGTCACTTGATGGTTTCCTCAGAGTATGGCCTGCCAATCCATCTCCATTTCTTCCTGCCTATTTGTTTCACAATCGGTTCCTGGTTGGTTCGCTCATTGCCAGAGATCTCTGTTGCTGATCTTTTCTGACGGGCCATCTGACCTTGATTATTGAGCGAAGACAGTTGTTGATGAAGGTCTGTAGTTTGTCTGAGGTGCTCTTTATGACACGCCGTCTCTGATCCGTACGTTATGAATAAGTTGTATTATCACTTTCATCCAGATCTCATATTGCGGACTCGCCTGAATACTGAAAAATTATGGTGAAATATATGGAAATTGGTTTGTGTTGTCAGTCCATGATAGAATCCAACTTGAGTTACCAATTACTTGAAATAATCTTAAGTTATCTTACCACACGTTCGATTCCAGGCATTTTAAGATAGATACACGGTTACCATCGATATTTTACTGTTGTAAAGTAAATGTCTCATCTCAATATGAAAAAAAGGAATGCTAATTCCAATAATAATTTCTTCATTTTGAAATGTAACAGCCTGAATTTAAGAGTAGCATTTTTCATCAAACAAAATCAAAGTGCGTTCAGTTTATCTTTGGAAAATAATTACAGTTTTATATGAATAAGCAATCATATGTAAAGAGAAAGAACCTTAGACAAATCATTTGTGGCAAAGTTTGAACAAATTAATTTGTGACAAAGAAAAGCCATTCCCTAAGATATTTCAATTTAATTAAACATGCTGAATAGTAGATCATCACATAGGTGATGAATATCATTAGAGCTGCCAACGCGTATGTCTCTTCTTCCGTAGACATATTATGACCTTCGATCAAAAGAAGCTGTAAGCAAACAGGGAAAAAGAAAACAAGTTTGACTAAAGCTACTAGAAAACGGGACTTAGTTTGTAATTATAACGAGGAAATATACCATTTTTCCTCTGCATATTGTATTGACAGTGATGATTGTGTACAGTGATCAAGGCGGGACAACTTGGAACACACTGATACACGGTACATTTAAACATTGGCTTTTGTCGACAACCACTTAAGTACGATTTCGCATTTATCAAAGCATTATATCCAATGACTGACCTTATGGTGTACTTCAATTCCTTTTTTGGAGAATTCATGATTCTAGATCATTGTAAAACAATGGTCTTTGGTATTTTTGTATCTGAAAATATTAGTAATAATTGCTGCACATATAAGTTATTTCTGAAATTGTGAAGAATCCATGCAAATAGCATTCACCTCAGTACTAAGGCATCATTTATTTTCCTGTACTAAGTATTGTCCATTTTCTAAATAGATTTCTTAATGACGCAATGGATATTAATTCCACCCTACCACTATTTCATGGCTTTAAAGATCAGAGATTAATTCAGAAATTCAATAATTTAGAAGTGGACTACTATCGTAAGCACTACGCTGCAGGTGTATATATTCGCTTTTATTCCGATAAATCTCCACGAAATTAAGCATTCCAAGACATAATAAATTCTAGTAGCTACCACAATGGATGTATTCGATAATTTCTTATTTTCATACTATAGACAGTAATGACACATTTCATGTATACCAAATAACATTCTTATTTTCATGTGAAATGATAATGTTAACATGAGACAGTTGGCTTAACAGTTTATAATAAGACGGATGCTTGTTAATCTCTTTTCATATCCACATGTAGAGAGGAATGCATGGATAAACCTGTACAACTCTCCAGTCCAATAATGGTTTAATACTGTCACTTCAATCTACCTAATCTTAAAGTTTTGGACGATAAAAAGCTGTTTCAAAAATAACGCATGTATATAAACCTTAATCTAGCACTGATTAGTAAAGTACAGATGATGCATCAAGTTACTCACCATTACTGATAACACAAAGATTGATAAACAAATCGCTTTGTCATCGATCTGCAGTTGACAATAAAAAAGATTATTATCTATGGTATCATGAAGATTTAAATATTAGATTTATATATGAAATGAGGATTGTTATAGTAAGACAAAACACTGCGTTGATATCAAACCTACAAACATTTCTGCACTGTTCCTTGCACGCGAAGCTTCTGGAACAAAACGAGGGGCTATTGGTCAAGTCAGAGATTAGCCAACCAGGAAAACGAAAGCACCCATGACCGTCAAACGAGCAGTTAAATCGAAGTAGTGAGATCACGTAAAAAAAAAAAAGATATGCTACTAAAGCGTAGGAATATTAGTCTGTCTGTCTTGTTTCACCGGAATTGGCTAGGTTGATAAAAGTGGCCATTTAAAGCTTATTGGTGCCTTCATACCCCTTTAATCTCTACTCTTTGACTTTGCCTACTGCCTGGCATGTTCACATGCTGTAACAACAGAAGGTAAGAGACGGAAGCCAAGGTATACTTTCAAGTGATCAAACATGTATTTATATAGATGCATTTATATAGATTCTCTAACCAGTTATTCAGTGTGCGATTTTGGCTTACATTAAACGATAAAAATAAATTTTTCAAAGACAAAGCACCCTGTTGCTAACGCAGTATTGAACTGTGGGGAAAGTATTCTGTCTCTAACAGCAAAAAGAATGTTCAAATATATATATGTAGTATTCTGTTGCTAATACTGTATTGAACTGTGCAAATATGTGAAAATAGTATTCCGTTGAAACACTCTGTCCTTATCACATCACCACAATATGTTTATTTCAAAACAAGTGTTTTTAATCATCGTTAGAATAACAGTTGCAGTGGTATGGAAAAACTGAGATAAAATTAAACAGTGAACCCACAAAATTTATGATAAACTGTTTTATAAGTAACAAAATATTTTCAACTTTGCTCTATGGAAATTAATAAAAAAGCAATGAACAGCTCTTTTATCCTAATTTCGTATTCTTCGGTAGTACTTTTGCATGAAATCAACTATTGTCAAAAAAATGATTCGTCGTATTTCAGACTGTTGCAATAGCATATTATCTCCCTTCTCTTAAGCCATTCAATCATCAGTTGGTACTTTTAAAGACAGTCAATTAACATTTAGGATAATACAAGAAAATGCAAAACATAAGAACTATCTCCTGTTATCAGATTCACATTATCGAATGAATTGTTTCAGTGATAAAATATTAATATGTCTTAGTTAGTCTAGAAACAGTATAATGCTGTCATTGAACCTAGTAATTATTGACACATTGAATAGACATGGCTCCGTATTTTTAACCTGAATGTATTTGGACATAAGTAGGTAATCACTATTATTTTTAAAACCTGAATAATAAGGGATTCTAAAGAGTGGACAAAGGCAGAAATGTCTTTTATTCAACGTAATTCACTAGGAAGAAAATACAGGCTTTATTTATGACTAAATATTTGTTTGTGTTCACTTTAAAAGACATTTTAGCATCAGTAATAGGGGTTAATTTGACTAAACAAACTAAGATGTCAGTCAGTATTTAATTGGTGGATGGTGACTAGCAGTGGAATCCAGGATGCGCATTTCGTCCTATTTGAGACTCGTCAGCTGGATGTACCTGCATTTTTCAGTGAGTGATGATGTTCCCACCGAGGCTCGAACCCAGTGACCATGTTTTCAAACGCCAAAGCGTTATCCACTAGACCACATCATCACTCACTGAGAAATGCAGGTACATCCTGCCGACGAGTCCCAAATAGGACGAGATGCGCATCCTGGATTCCACTCCTAGTCACCATCCATCAATTAAATACTAATTGAATGCCCAGACATCGTCAAAGCATCTGCTCAAGAAGCCGACATGTCAACCTGAGACCGAGCACTTTGGTCCAATCAATCGACGGGAAAATCCAAAATTCAATTAAAGATGTCAGTCCGCTTGATATTTTGATGAGAATTTTACTAAATTTACAACAAAACAAAATCTTTTCGTAACCACTTTCAGTATTATTATTTTTTTCATACTAACTGCCTCAAGTTACATAGAATATGAAATATGCACATGTCTTCTAATATGAAATAAAATCTTGTCAGCACAGAAAAAGCAAGTGAAAAAAACACTCAAAACAATGTAAGCTGACATTTCTGTCTACTTAATCCAATCTGGACATTTGGGTAGTATCATCAGAATTATCTACGAGAAGTAGATGTCCACTAAAAAATGTGATAAGAAGCATATTGGTGTTGATGAATTCATCATCCCCTATAAGACGATTCTGTAATCTGTATCACATAATTAAATGACCGATAAAGTAAAAAGTAGCTCTAAACCTATTCACCTCGTTGACAGAGAACATGAAGTAGACACTGACAAAAAAATTAGTTATTTATTGTATTCGACTCAACATTTGTAAAAGTTTGTGAGCCCGAGTTTTTCAATCCGCAGAGACACTCTCAATTCATCTTGATGAGTCAAATGTGTTTGTACTTAAGAAATTCGTATACCTCGTTTCTTCGCCTTAGAAATTTACATTTTATGTGCATGGAATTACAAATTACTTTTCCTTTTGTCCTTATAACTAACACCTGAAAGTGTATCATTGTTATTTTGTTATGATAACTATTCAGACAATTTATTTGACTTGTCCATGTATTGATGTTCTTACGAATTCATACATCTATTCTTCCTACGTATAATCATCTTACGTACCATTGATTATGTAATGTCCTTTTGCTAACCTCTATAAATCAGCATTCATGATTTTTACGAGTTGATCACGGGTATCAGTTAGAGAACCATTGAAAACCAGGGAGTACTGGACAGCTGCTGTTTCATCCTAGTTTGGGAATCAGCAGCTGTCCAGTACTCCCTGGTTTTCAATGGTTCTCTAACTGATATCCGTGATCACCTCGTAAAAAAATAACAAACCTTTACAAACCAAACTATAGAAAATTCATGAATTTGGTAATTATTTTATCTATTCCAGGCCCCTAGATAGATAATTTCTGTAAACTAACACACTGACAAATGAATGTCATAAATTCGACTTCAAACTATATATTATTATAGTGTAGAGCCATTGACGGAGGAATTTATTTCTCCACCAAAATTTATTATTTCTTCTACTCGTGTGAACCTAGGTGTGTCGGCCGTACCCAACATATCACTGCACACCTAGCCTCCTGCTTTCAAAAAGTAGAAAAAAGTCGCCTGAAGATCTATTCTGGAACATCTGGTCGAATCAAAGCACCAAGTAACTTCAAAGTCATCTACAGAATGCATGAGATTCTTGGTAAATTAGTACGAATCAAACTCATATAAATACCATAACACCATCCAACTCTCTCCTTGCACTATATCAAGTATCATCTGTAACAAGCATACTAATGACCCCTATGTACCTTTTACTTGTGTTGAATGCTGTGCAACAAATGCCTTGACAATATCTGTTCCATCCTTGCGTGAACAGCTTGATTGCAATACAATAACTACTTGGACTTACCCATGGAATCTTCTTTGTTGCAGCAATAATTGAAAGTGCTACAACTGCAATCGCCAACAAAACTGTTAGAATATACACTAAAGTTGAACTGAAAAATTTAATTCTGCTTCCAATGGCAAGAAATATACACACGACAATAAAATCGCCGACTAAAAATCCATCGGTCCATGTTAGACTATCTATGTACATAAGTAATGAGAAACCAGCACCTAATAAAGCTGCCTGTAATGGAAAAATTGGAAGTAAAACTTCATTTACTGATGAGTTATTTTGTAAATTTTAATTTCAGATGTTACCATTATGTCTGTATCGTATGTAGATGTGTAGAATTACTGCTTATCGAACCAAAATTTTGGCATTTTATTCTTTATTCCTTCACGTTCCCAGTGGAACATAGGGCTTCAAGCTTGTGGCCTGAAGTTTCTGTAGCAGTGTTTAATTTTACAGGATGAGGTTGCTAGCCTCATTCCCAACCTTTCCTTTTTATCAGCTTTATTTCTGGTTTAGCGAGGCAAAGGATTGCGTCGACCGAGAATCGAACCCGGACCGGCGAGCGTCCTAACCGCTGGCATTTGTTACTTTTTAAATTTCTAGACTTCTTCAGAGTTAACTTCTCATTTTAATACTAGTGTTTTGATCCAAATTATACTTGTGGTATAGGATGGAGTTACACCTATGAATTGTCTATGAATGTGAAACCTGTCACTTCTGTTGGATATAAACGTGACTTGTTGTTTCCGAAAACTTTCTTACAATCCAATCAATTAGCGTTTGTTTTGATATACCCCAACATAAATCAAATTTACTAAACAATGAAACATTAACGAAATAGACAAAAAGTCAAATATCTGGTCAACAAAATTATCATTACCATTACAAATGGCCAAGGGGATAAGAAAACCTTCGACGACAAGCGACTGCATTCAAGTTTATCAGAAGAGACGGCTTTTCCATTTATATAAATTCTAAAATTTCACTTCATGTTGAAATCATCAATAAATATGTTGAAAATATAATCATCACAGTTAAAACCAACTAACTCACAAAAAGCACCAACACCAAAATTATCCCCTTTCCATCACTTTTATTTTGCCCATGTTTTGAACACGAAATGTGTTTTTACAATATCAGGTTATGAATTTATGCCCACTAAACTTATTTCGGAGAATACAAATGTGCTAATGTCATATTTGCGTTTTATGTTACTTCCGTGAATAAAAGATGAAATTTACAAGCTAAGAAATCTTAGTAAACATTTGAAAACAAATACAAGTTTTCAAATCTCATATTTCAATGAAATAACTCACATTTATTATCAGTAAGATGATATTTAAAGGATATGTTCCATAAAGTTTCATCGAAAAAACGAACGATAGTGTTAAAAGATAGGCTAAACCACTGTGATGTATGAATGAATGAGAGAAAGATTAATAGATATCAAAATCAAAATATAAGACAAAATATTTAATAAAATGGGATTCGAACTAAATTGAATGTGACCGGCTTAAAGGTGCGATGAGAGAAGTAAGTGATTTAAGACGAAATTTCTCACTATCCATCAGATACGTTTAAGCTTGAACAAAGTGGTGAAGACTATTACATACCATTTCAAAAAGACGTGATACCATAATGTCCCATCAAATAATTTACTTAGGTAGATAATTAAATTTTGTGACCTGATGCAAATAAAACAAATGCAGTCTGATAAGAGATTCCCTCCTTTGACCTTTCCTTTCGTCAGATATCGTTCAGCTTCTAACATGGATTTAGGCGTTTTTACATACTTATAACGAATGCTTGGAATTAAACAGGGCTCTGGATAAATGTTTTCCATGTGGAAATATATCTGCGATAAAATAGAGTCTTAGTGGATTTCTAAACATGTGTTACTTTCTTGCCAAAAAATTGCGGAGTTTTTACCGTATTATCCGTCTATCACACGAAGCAGCAAGGAGAAGCACAAACTGCTGGAGCTCATAGTGAGTGTGTACACAAGTTATTACAAAACAAACTTGCAGCACTCTTGTCTTTATATACTTAAATATATAGGATGGATGAAATCAAATACTATTTGCATTACCTCAGGTCTAATATGAAATTTTACCACTTATTAAGACGAATGCTTTAGGCTTATCCCATGTTGTGTTTGGTTGCTTTAATGGTGTTTTATCAAAATTTACGTTTGGAGTAAACACAGGAGTCAGACAAGGGTGCTTATCATCACCAATGATATTCCTAATTGTGGTGAACTGGATTATGCGTCAGACAGTGGGAAACGAGAAGACAGGGATATCCAGGACCGACGTGAAGAACCTAGAAGACCTGGATTTCGCGGATGATTTATGTTTGATGTCACACAAAATCGAAGACTTACAAGCAAAAACCGACAAACTGGTCGAAGAAGCAGCAAAGACAGGACTCCAGGTGAACATAGACAAGACGGAGGTTATGAAGATAACCAACCAACAACAACAACAGCAGCAGCAACATCCAGCGCCAATCACCATCAACGGGAGGGATTTGAAAGAGGTTACTTCATTCACTTACTTATCTAGGGAGCATTGTCTCAACCACAGGAGGAACGGACGAGGACGTCAAATCGAGAATCGGAAAGGCGAGAAACACATTCATCAACCTGAAACCAATCTGGAAATCTTCGTCACTCCCCATCAACAACAAAATTCGGATTTTCAATACAAACGTGAAGTCAATTTTGCTTTACGGATCAGAAACTTGGCGGGTCACAAAGAATATTTTCAACAGGTTGCAGACCTTTATCAACAACTGTCTTCGCTCCATACTGAAGATTAGATGGCCGAAAAGAATCACAAACAAGAAGCTATGGGAACAAACGAAACAGGAACCAATCGCTCAACAAATATGCAGGAGAAAGTGGAGATGGATTGGACACTCGCTGAGGAGGCCGTTGGATGACATCGTGCGTCAGGCCATCGCTCGAGTGGAACCCGAAATGGAAGCGGCGAGTGGTTCGTCGGTGCAAGGGTGACATGGAGGAGATCGTGTGAAGAGGAGCTGAAACAGTATGGACTAACATGGATGCAAGTGAAAAGTACAGCAGAAGAGAGAAGCAAGTGAAGACGTGCAGTTGAAGCCCTATGTTCCACTAGGAACTCAAGGAAACAATAATAATATTATAATAATATCAAAATTTACACAGTTAGAGTATCTCTTGTTATTTTTATTACATTAAACGTGCAGATATTTTGAGACAGCTTTCATCCTAACTCACTCAAACATCATTATCCATTTATTTTCAACACTAAATAGCACAGAGAACTGAACTCTGTCAATATATTTTTGGTGAAGACAACCTATTTACACTTAATTAGGAGCTAATTAGAATTTAGTCTGTACCGAATTCAAATTGCGTATATATATATATATATATATATATATATATACGAAGAAGTGAAGCAAAAGGAAAACGTACGAATGTAGACTTCGCACCAGTACACATAGTCCGTCAAATACAAAGATCATTTTCGATAAAACCATAACTAGTTACAATTTAAAACAATACAAATTATGTATTAATACTTACATTAGCAGAAACCCCACATATTTATATGCTAAGAACGACTCTCTGTAATTTGGAAACCTTCATTTTAAAATGTTTCTTATTCAAATTAAAACATACAAATGTAAGAAGAGTACGAAACCAACAAATTCTGCTATTTGAATCACTGCCAGCAGTATTACCTGATGAAGAGACAGTGTTATCAACATTTCAAATTACCCTTGTGATTGACTTGCTTAAGCTCATTTGTATATACGATAATAGAGAAGCTTCTTTTTCAATAATCACTCTGGTGGCCTGTACAGCTAAAAATATGAAAACGATTCGATAATAAGTGCTGTACAATGAAAAATTTCACGAAAATGTTAGTATGCTTATAAACGTTTTGAGAGGAATTCAGTTCTACCACAATGCTGAGAACAAGTAGGAAATAAAGTAAAACGAAAAGAAATACAATATTTATTTATGTACCTCTTCCAAACAATGATTGGCAACCAAAAATGAGGAAGCTTAAAGTCGAATAATACAGATGATATGCTGTCCTTTGATATGCCTATATGGAATTCACCGACACCAACACCAGCAGTGCATTGTGTATAGATAGCAATGACAGCTTTTTTAATTCAAACCACTTAAACAACTTCATAATGAAATAACTAACTAGTACATGATACGTGTTGTTTCAAGAATCATATTTTCAGACGATAAAGAAAGAATAATTCAAACAAATATCATTTTGAGACTATTTGATGAATGATGAATTGTATACACAATAAAAGGCCAAAACCTTGAAAAGCAAGAAAAGTTGTAATGTGAGAAGTGCCGAAGAACTCCTTCGAAATAAGGGAATGCATCGTAAGGTACTTTGCCCCGTTGATATAAAAACAGTCAACTGGATTCCTGAACTCTAGCAATCTTCAGTATCATCCGTCCTCGAAATGAGGTGTCCCACTGATCCCAGCAGCAAATAAGGTTTTTTCATGTACTTTGAAGTTTCAATTGCTGGTCCCAGCTACAATCCTTTCTCTTTTCTGAACCTAGGATAAGGTAGTAAATTAGGTGAGGTCTAAAGCCTTATCTACTGTGCCACCAGAAAAGGGTTTGTAAATATGCTGAAGAGACATTCATGTGACACCACTGCACTGCCTATTGATGGGACTCAAGTAGGAAGTGATGGGTTCCACCTTAGCGGGTGACATACAGAAGATAATCTGAAGAAGAAATGAAGACTGTGTGCCGTCGTGAAGCTGAATGTGACTGATGAAAGAGAACTGAGTGCAAAGGAAACGCATCGGTGAAGCCAGATTTTTGACTCAGAAATTAATAATAATAAATACGACATGAAATCAATGTAAACTGAAAGCGACCCACCTTAAATTCTACACAGAGATGAAGTTACAATGGAAGCAGAGATAAGTCGTGTGCTTATATTTATTTGCAAAAGACACACCAAAGTGCTGTTTATTTAAGTGCAATGTCCACTCAACTAATTTACCAGTCTAGTAAATTATTTAAGCCAAACATTTCGCGTTATTGCTGAGACATGTTCATTGCAATGAACGATTCCGAATTGTTTACTAAACGAATGACACTTTGTTCCGTGTCGTAATTACAAAAACTCATCTAAACATATCCACGTAACTAAAAATGGTTGTAAATAGATTTAGATAAGTATCGCTTATTAGCTAAGAACAATTCAGAGGCTTTTGAAGTTCAGTGAGCAGTTTTATTTTTCGTTCATGAATGAAACTTACAGTTGTATCGACACCAAACTGCTCTCTGCTCTTCAGTTTAAATTTCATATTCAATCCTGCGAAAATAAAATCCAGTTTAATAACGTACAGCAAAATATCACAAAAGACGTAGACCGGTCACTGACATTTCTGAGTTTTGGGGATTAAATTCTATTTGAGAAGTTATCTGTGAGCTTAGTAATCTAAAATACCTACCATTCACCATGAATATTACAAGATATCCTGAAGCGATCAGCAAGAAGCTATGAACCTGGGTTTCATGCTTATTTGACAATACCTACAATCTAGTAAGTAACATATGTCTGATGACTAACACAAAGCATTCAATGACAATACGAACTAGATGCATTATGCTAGCTGCGACCCAGTACTTTTAACATCCTACAGAGCTAATTGCCTGCTGGTACGAACTGCTAATGACTGTCATGACTTCTTGCAGACTAATCTCAAGAATTTAACAATAATCGTTTCTAAACTTCAATTTTGTTAGTCACTTAGATTTAATGAAGATGAAGTAATTACTGAGGCCGTCATCATTAACTTCCGTATATACTGTTCGTATTGGAAAAATGCCAGTACCCAACAGGCTCGTTTACATAGATAATACAAAATGATTCATTCAGCTTTGAGAAATGATCCATATATCTTCACTCACTGAAACAGTAGATATGGGTCAAGGTGAGAGTCAAAACATGGAAGTAACAACGACATGGTCCTATGAGTGTGTATAGCATTTCAACATCGACCGATGGGTACCCAGCTGTAGAAATTTGTCAGTTGACCATTCCATGACATCTTTCGATAAATCGATCTCTTCAGAGTTCCATCGGTCCTTCTTGATAAGTTCACATCGAGGAAATAAAGGCTACACTTGTTCTTCATTTCGAGTTTGAATTTTATCGCAGGATGGCAACCATTAAATACATTTAATATATTATTTAAGTTGCAATCACCATCACAAATAATAAAGGTGTCATCTACATATTTTTTATACATTTGAAAGCTTTGGGTTGTAGGCTTCAACTGACCATCTTGTAGACTGGACATAAAACAGTCTGGAGAATGAGTGTAGCATATATTTCCTCGATGTGAACTTATCAAGAAGGACCGATGGAACTCTGAAGAGATCGATTTATCGAAAGATGTCATGGAATGGTCAACTGACAAATTTCTACAGCTGGGTACCCATTGGTCGAAAACGAAACCTGATCCGGTCGCTTGCCACTCTCATTCGGCAAATATGTAGCCCTGATACTGTGGATGATGAGTTATATCTTTTGGGGAATATCCTAATAGAAAATGGATTTCCACCACGATTTATAGATAAGAATTTACATTCAAATCCTGTAAAATGTGACTTATCATCCGTACCCAAGAAATTACTTTACATGAGCTTGGAATTCAGAGGGGACATAGCTTCCGATATCATGAAACGAAGGATATCACAGTCCCTGAGAAGAACATTCCCCGCTGCATCTTTGAGAATAGCCTTTACCAGTCGACCATTACTGTTCAATAACCTGAAGGACAAGATCCCGCTGCTGACCAACTCTATGTGTGTTTATCAATTCACCTGCTCGTGTGGAGCTAGGTATATCGGTCGTTCGACTCGAGTTTTGTCCAACAGAGTGCAAGAACACTATCCTGCATGGTTACGAAGAGGTGTAAGTGGAGCAATAAGAAGCGCGATCATTGAACATCTGGTTGATAATGATCACCCTATCTCTATAGCCTCCGCCTTTAAAGTCATCTACAAGGCAAAGAGTAATTTACCCAAATCCCTACGTACCCAACTCATCTGTATTGCTGAAACTTTGGCTATCGAAACAGAAAAGCCAGATCTCTGTATACAGAAAAAGTTCGTTCAACCCCTCCAACTTTCATGGTCTTAATCCCTCTATGCTAAAGTATGGTAATTCCCAATCATATTTTGGCTCTACCAATTTTTCTTTTTTCATTTTGTCTATTCAATTTGTATTCTTTTCCTTATTAAGTCAATTGTTACTATTACTACTCTCACTTTTAATTGTCCCCGGTATTATTTCACTTGTTCCACTTGTCATTCTAAATCAATTCCTTTATGCAACATTAAATTCTATGCTGTTAAATTTCACACAATATTACGTAACGTTTTTATTTTTTCGATTTGTCTACTAATCTTATAATTGCACACCTTTTTCAAGTTCTATCCATCCTATGAATTATTCTATATATGACATTAATTTGCTTTGCCACTTGACATTTAACTACGATTATAATCACAAACATTTTAGTTTTAATTGCATTTCATATTATTATTATTATTTTATGCATTCACACCTATGATTCAATTCCCTCACCGGATATAACTTATTAAAAACCATATGGATTTACGTACTTTTCAGTCGTATTGGTGGATGGTGATTAGCATTGGAATCCAGGATGCCCACTTCGTCCTATTTAGGACTGTTCAGCTGTATATACCTGCATTCCCCAGTGAGTGTTGGTGTTCCCATTGTCTTCAAGTTACATGACAACAAAACGTCCGTGCATCTGCACAGGTAGCCAACATGTCAGCCTGAGACAAAGGAATTATTTTTCAGGCCTATGAGATTCGTTAAAATCTTGAAACGCGTCACCTCCATTTTTCAGCAATAATGCAATTTCAAGAGTGGAATTCATCAAAACAGAGTCAAAGGAAGTTTTGTTCACATGTTGTTGTCACGATATGCATGCAAAACTGATAGGGAACTGTACTTTTATAATATACATGTTATTATTTTTCGCAATTTAAAATATTCATAATTCGTATTTTCAATATTTCCGATTTACGAAGACTGTGTTAACTCTAGCGAACATATTTACATACACTTATTGTGGCTATAAACTAACGAAAAGTCATTCTAAACCGATGCTATCTCAGACCTTATTCGATTTCTTCATCTATATTTCTGATTAGCAAAGTTCATCGACAAATATCATAAAAATTCAGAAATCTATGATTTCGATTTCCTTTCACTGTCACTTGAAAGATAGTTGATAATTCTCAAAGAGAATGTGGGTGGGCTTTACAAACTTTTGTATTCCGCACACGTTAAGCATCATTTTTACGGACTCATAATATCAGGGAAGCCTTAAAGTCAAATTAGATATGCCTAAGTCAAGTGACCCAAACAAGTATATTGTACTCAGTAGTGCTAATGTCATCAAGCTGTTCTTCCACAAGTAAAACACCATGGTAATATGTGTCATGCTGTATTAGAAATAGCTAATTTTGTTTAAATTTGTAGTGTACAATAAATTGCATATTTGCTGCTTTCTGAATGATTAAAAATTATATTTTCAGATCGAATATGAACAATCAAAGTCCACCATTAACAATTTCAAAGTTTCAAACAAAAACTGATGATGATAAACACCCTTTGTAATAATTCTCAGCTGACATTGAAAATAAAATAGTTCAAAGTCTGTAGAACTGAAAAACAAGTTTCAGTTTTTCATTTGAAAAGTGAGAGAGGTTTTGTAAAGTACATCTACAAGTTCAAGTTTCAATAGATATTTTCG